GACTGGGAGCAGATGCAGCCGTGAAGAGATGGAGCCGCGCTTTGCAGAGAGAGGCTTTCGAGAGTCCTGGCAAAATCTCCACATGAGTGGAAGGACAGCGCGGAATGGGCCAGAACCGTTAAAAAAATAAAATAAAGCGGTGTACTCAGGATTACAGAGCGACAGAGGAACGTTGTTATAGGAAGAGAAACAGGGAGGGAAGTAAAAGTTATTTTTAAAAGAATTAGGTTTATTTAGCTTGTAAATAAATGACTGTTGGAAAGTGGAGTTATGTCCCACAAATACAGATAAAGAACATACCTTCAATTTCATTGTTTGTGCAAATTAAAGTAGGTATAAATGATCTCTTTGCATTCTTTCCTGTTTTGCAGAGATTTTGACTGTGCATCTTCAGTGTGAGTTCACATGAAGCAGATTTTACACAAAATATTAATAACTGAATCAAAGCAAACCTGACAGACCATTTAAAATTAAGATTTACAGGTGTTTGAAGACACACAAAACCGCAAAAAAAACAACTGAGTTTGACGCTATTGATTTTTACAACATTTTAATCCTTTATTGAAGTTTTTCCTGAAATATGTGAAAGGAAGCAGCTGAAAAGACTGTTTTCTCTTCTGAATGTTTGACTTTTGCTGTTCCTCTGCCTTGTTTCCGGGTAGAACAAAGGATTCTTTACTGACATAAACAACAACCAGCAAAGAAGAAAAAACACTCAAATAATAATAATACACATTTTCTTCAAGTCATCTATTGGAAAAGTTTCTGGTTCCTGTTTCTGCTCGGAGGCTCTAAGCAAATTGTTTCAAATTTGACGAAAGTAGCAATTTAACATCCCAACACAATACTGTTTTAGCAGGGCAGGTTTTATTTCAGATTTATTCTCTTTTATTGTCGTTTTTTTTGTCATATTTTCAGTAATTTAAATTATTACTACTATATTGTTGGTGATTAAAATCCACCATGATAAAAATCAATTTATTGTTGATTAACATTCTGTCATTGTGTTCTGCTGAAGACAAAAACATAGTATCTTCTGCTCATATTTTACAGCACAGCTGATACAGGAAGTTAGAAAAGCAGTTCAATACCTCTGGAGATTATTTGTGATGGTTTTTATTCCTGATGATTTTTGGTGTTTTTTTTTTTTGTTTGCAATAAATATACAGTATGATAAAACGATGGCAATAACTCGTACTGCTTGCTGTAAGGTGCTATAGAGACTAGCAAGGAATGTAATTAGCATTATTTTACAAAGCTGAATATTAGGCACGTGTTTGTAGTTCTTTAAAATGTGGATTTTCCTCATAACTGCTCAGTAACTCACCGTTTCTGCATGGCCACAAAGCGAACAGCATTACTGGATAGTGAAGGCTGCAAGCCTACAAGACACCCTCCATTTCTAGAGTTACATGGCAGACGTTGCCTTAAGCTTCTGCACAACTTATTGTACAGTTGAAATAATTAAATATTAGATTCATTAATTATTTTTTTGGAAAATGTTACTGTAATAACGTGGTTATTATTCGTAAATTGAACATTAACCGCAAAAACAGATGAGGCTAATCGAGGCTAGAACGAGTTCATTCATAAGCTTGAAAATGCCTCTTTAGGCTGAAAGTTTTACACTTAAGCTGAGTCTTGCACCCCCTGCAACTCCGTTATTAGTACAGGAAGACCCTTCGCACGAGAGTAGCCGCTGATCTGAGTGACAGGGACACATTATCATCATCTCCTTGGTAATAAATTGTCTCATTAATTTATGCTCTGCTGCGTGCACTGATGAGATATATCAGCGATCTCTGTTTTCCCTCATTGCCCTCTGTTATAAATAGGATATTCAGCACTTTAGGAGGCGTCAACAAATAATGGGTGTTGAGTACAACTTTTGCTGTTAAAGTCGGAACACAAACACGTCCTTTATGCTTTAGTGGCCACAGTAGCTGTAGTGTTTCCATTGCTTAATGTGCGCTAATCTTTGTCGATATTCCACTAATGTAAAAATAAAAACACAATTTCACAGTCGTGTTTCCATTAAATAAGAAACGCAATTACAGATCATGCAATCTTATTACTACTGTAAATTGAAGATGAAGCTTAAAAGCAAAGTCTGTGGAATGAAACAGTGAATTAAAATAAAACATTGCCAACCTTGGAAGATTTATGGGCAAATATCTCGTCATAATTATGCCTAGACCTTTGCTGAAGGCTTCAGGCAACTTGTTGGTGAGGCGTACTTTGGATCTGCAGAGGTGTGAACCTGTATGTACAATTAAAAAAAAAAATTATTTAAATTTACTCAAACAACACTTGTTTTTTTTATTTTATCAATGCTATTAGTTTTATGTTAATTTCACTCTTAAATTCCTGCATATTACAAAAGTTAGCATCTTTTTCACTGTGACTGTGTTGCAAGTGTTTTGCAGAAGGAAAAAAAAAAGCATCTTTTGTTTGTATCTTTATGGAGATATTATTTTTGCCAGAATTATTTTTTACCAACAACATTCAGCATTTATTTTAAATTTTTTTGAGAAATTGATACATTGTCATACAAGGTGGTAATGTTATCAGAATAAAGTAATAAAATTATGACTTTATTCACATAACACTAGAACTTTATTCTTGGATAATTTTGACTTTATTCTCATAACATTGTAACATTATTAATTTATTCTCGTAGCCGATTGTTTTCTAAAAATGTCATTTTTAGCATTTTCTTAGCCTGGCTCTGATCTTATATTATAAATCCAGATGTCCTGTGAAGACCCTTAGAGGTGTGTTGGAGAACCAGCAGCACCTTTAAGCACAATGAACACAGTAGACAAGGATACATTTGTTTGTGGAGAGGTTTAAAGCTTGGCAAGGTTATAAAGCTTTATTTAACATCAAAAAAACCTCACACAGCGCTGTTTGGTCAGTCATCTGAAGAGACGACTGATCAAACATGGTCGTCCACGAAAACGGACAAGGAGAGACAAGGAGAGCACAGCTTAGGTGGGAGAATCTAGTAACAGGACGGCTGTAAGTGTTTTTGCCTGCATGCAAAATGCAAAACGTGAGAACCTAACACAGTACGCCACCCTCAACACGTCTTGCTCATGCTGAAGCATGGCACTGGCAGCATCAAGCTAAATAACGGGTAATCCTGGAAGAAAAGCTGTTGGAGGCGGCAAAAGATTTGAGACTATGGCGGAGGTTCATACCCAAAAGATAATGGATTTTAACAAAGCATATGTATATTTGAGAGCTTTCAGGTTTGTGGTTTTAATATGATAAAACACTGAAAAGAAAAAAAAAAAGACTTTTTGCAAGGCACGTGAACTGCAGCCAAAATGTAGAAATTTCAGTTCAGCTGCGAAAGAGAAAACTCCTCGGAGGAAGATGGGAGGGGATGTGTGTATTTTGGAGTCCGTCTGAGTTTTTGTTCTGACACACAATGACACAGCCGTTTACCAGATCCTCCCTTGGAGTTAGGCTAAACAGAAAAACCTTGATCTGGCTCGTCACATTCAGCTTTTTGCTATTCCCAGAGGAAACGGAACTAAATCTGACAAACTTCAAACTGAACTCTACGAGTGAAAGAAAGTCCTTAATTACATGACATTAAGGTTGTGTATCAGATAATATCCAAAACTGTCAGAAGATTAGTTAAAGGTGCATCTCAGTACATTAGAATACTTTTGAAAAGTTAATTTATTTTATGGATCTAGTTCTACACACACTGGGACGTATTTTGCTTAACACCCATGCACTACATCTGTGTGTGTTTTTGCTATTGATGTATTGACTCCAGCTAATATTTACACCTTGTGAATCTCAGCCAAACTAATCAATATGATTTCCTTCCTCCCTAAAAGCTCCTTTAATCTCAGTTGCCACTGAGCCTTTTGCTACACTTTTTTCTTCCTCTAAACTTTCCATCAATATGCTTTGATATACCACTCCACACAGTGTCAGACAGTTGTCAAATGGACAGTCTTCCTCATGATAACAGTACTTAGCACATTGCACAATATCTCTACATTAAAAATGTTTTTCAAAATGTCTGAGAAACTATTTTTGAACTTTTCATTTGCTTAAAATTCCTGAAATTAAGCTCTTGAAGAATTTCAGTCTGTGTAAAATGAACCTATATAAAATGACTAAAGATTTTGAATGCACTCTCACTAAATACATTAACACATTCCAATTTATTGAGGTGAACCTGCATAATATCCAGAATTGTTTTAAAAAAAAACCTTTATGTTCATTAAAAGATTAGTCAAACCGGAGGAGGATTTTTATTACAAAGTGGGGCTGAACACTTTATTCTTCCTGCTATAACAGCAGGTCAGCTTGCTTAATTTTCCTTGACTGTAAGTATCAGCATCTTCTAACAGTTCTGCTGAATAATGTGATCTTAAACAGGATCGGTCCTGTCATCGCCCTCTACTGGCTGTGCGAAGAATGTATTTCAAATTTGCTCCAAACAGAAGCAATGACACATGTATTATTATTATCTTTTCTTTTACATAAGCTTAATATAACTTTAGACAATTTAAAGAAAATCCAAATCTGTTAAAAATATTTTTAAGTTCATGGCTTTTTTTTAAAGGGACAGCAACAATTATTTTTAGGATCCACTGTAGAGTTTTACAGACCTCGTTGTATGTGCAGTAAAGAATAAGTACATTTTTTGTGCATTTTTAAATAACAGCAGTGTTTTATTTGTGTAATTATTTTGTTAGTACAACAATTATAACAATGGTTCTTGTCATCTGGAGAAAAAGACACAAATCGGAGCTCCACTAAGCATTGTGAGGTTATATAAGTGTTTAAAACAAAATGGGGTAAAGAAAAAAAGAAAAAAAAAAAAAAAAAAAAGGCTGCAACTGTTCAGTTTGTGTCAAACATGGCAAAGAGAGCTGCCATGGATGCGAGTTGCTTTTATTGGAGACTCTGGATGGAGAAGAGATGGAGAGGGAGGGGTTGCTTGGTGCCAGTGCGCACATGCGCAATCGATTGGACTCGCAGTTGAAAACGGGCAGCTATGCCGCGCGCTTACAGAGAACGAGCTGGACGCGTCCGCCTTGAACAACGGAGGACCGACCCGGGGACCGCTGCACCGGGAGGCTGCTGACAGGCGACCGCTTCCCCGGGGGAAAACCTCCTCCCTGAAAAAAAAAAGAAGAAAAAAAAAAAGAAAGAAACGCGGCCGAGGAAGAGGAGGAGGAGAGCGCGCCGCACGCATCCGCTTTTTCTCCCGTCTCTCTCTCTCTCTCCCTCTCTCTCTCATCTCAAACATCTCGTCCAGCTTTAATTTCAGCCCCGCTAAGAGAAGAAAAGCAAGGAGACACCCGCGATGTTGCTGCTAAACGTCTAGGATTTGCTGCCGCGCGCGCGTGTGTGTGTGCATAGACTGTGAATAAAGCTGAGCACGGACAGAGAGCTACAACAACAACGACGGGCTTCACTATGGTTTTATTGGCTCTCCGCAGCAGGAGATGTCTTAATAGCCGCTGTATGGGGACGTTATGCTTGCAGTTGTTGCTGTGGATTTTATGTGCCGTGAACGGAGAGGAGCAGCCGTTCAGCGTGGAGGTAAGAACTGGACCGGTATCTGTAAAAAAAAAAAAAAAAAAAAAAAAACACAATTCTACCTACGAAGAAAAGCGCCTGCTCCTTTGTGCGGCTGTATTATGCCTATAATAACACCACGCGAAAAAGTATTACAGGCAGAGTGTAGCTCCTGTTCCCACAATAACAACAATTGCGTCTTTGTGAAAAGCCCAACTGGTTTGTAGCTCTACTTTATCAATTCGCCCTCTATGTGTATAGGCATTAAAAAAAGAAGAAAATAAACGATAGAAGAAAGGCTAAGAGAAACCTTGGCTGCTGTTGCGTTTGTTGTTCAACATGTTCATTAATACATAATGTCCCTCATGTGCACGAGATAAAATGAAATAAAGCAACCCATGTAAACACCACAGGTTAAACATGGCATCTTTTACTAGACAAGGTAGAGATAGGTTCCAGGTATTTAGGTATGCCAAGGATTTAGAAAGTTATAATTTGATGCTAGCTAATATTTTCTGTTGTATCCTTTCTTTGTTGTGATGTATTTTTCATTTGTATATGATGTAATCACCAGATTTATCTCTTTAGTGTACATCAGTGTGAAAGCAGGCACGCATCAGTTACCCATATCAAGGTACAAGGGAAGGTACAAGGGAAGTTACATCCCCTATCTTCCAATAGTTTACCTTCTAACAATATGCCAGAAAAAGTGATGGGAGTTTTTTTTCTAACTGCTTGCCCTCCTGCACCTTGACACTCAGCTGGCAGAAAGAAGGCAGCATTCTTTTTTCATCTTTTACAAGGAAGACAAGAAGATTTTGGGTGTTTGGAAGTATTTTGTTGTTGCCACAAACACAGACAGTAGTGTTGTGAAACGCAACGAGCCCCACCCATCACTTCTGTAAAGTAAGGCTGTTTTAAAACTACAAACGACAAGTGACATGTCTGTAAAGCAGCAGGCTGCAGGCTGGCGATCTGAGCTTACCGCCGAATGAACAAATTACCAGCTTGCTGTGCTTGTGCTATTCTATTTAAAGCAGAATTGCAGAAATGTCCAAGAAGCTCCTGAGAACTCTGGAGCTTCTAGAGCTTTTCTACATGTTTGCTCCTGTTCATCAAAAATCAAAAGACAAATAAATGAATCACTGCATTGACTTATTTGAGCAGCAAGAGGGGAGAATTGTTGCATCTCTGTTTTAACTGAAAGCGACTCTTTCGTGTCACACGTTTCAATCTTAACGCATTGTAAAAAGCCAGCTGGATGTTTTTTTTTTCATTTTGGCTTTTCTGTAATTGCTACAAGTGAGCTGTATGAAAAGGAAGCACAATAGGCTGTAAAACGGAGCTACTGTGACATTGTCTGCGCATGTAAAATTTAAGTGGCAACATATGAGCTCGCCTGCAGAACCTGCAGCACTGCCTTTGCACGTTGTCATCATCGCATACATCACTGCTTATGATGAGACCGGTGTACTGTACTTTGCTCAACACTTTTAAAACTTTGTCAGCTAAATATAAAGAAGGATTTGTTATAGTTGGTGCAATCAGCACTCTCTTTTGGGGGGGGGGTTAAATAGATTGCCATACTTTAGAGTAGAACTAGCACAACCCCCACATGCTGTAAGGGAAGAGAATGATGAAATCAGCAACATATGTACAAGATAAAACCCTACTATTCATACAGCCTAAGAGGTATTGATCTTTACAGAAGGATCATTCAAGACAAAAACCTGTCCAGTTTGAGATATCTTTCTGGTTCATGTCATGTTCAAGAATGGAAACTCCCGTTCTGACCGGCCTCATGTGAAAGAGGCACAACTTAGCAATTTCAGGATCAGCAAAGACCTCACAAAGGTCACTGGAGCAAATATTTGAACTGGATGGATGCCAGATGTTTGTGTTTTTTCAGCCTCCCACTATATGGGCTCAGCAGAAAGAGCTCTCTGGAGGCTAAGGCAAAGGGCACTTCATGAGATTTTAGGAGAAAGCCCAATCTGCCCGTTTCACATCCAACTTTTTTAAGAGTTAATCATCTCATCGATCATCTGAACACCAAATGAGATCATCCGGGCATGTTGTTTACCGAAGGTCATTCAAGCTTTGCGGTCACATATCCACATGATTTCACAAGCTTTGTGAACCAGCTCTCTTTGGCAACAGACTCAGGTTTCATTTGGAACGAGAGTCGTTCATAATTCTTGGAAACCGATTTTGGACTGAGCTGCTGTTTGACAGAGATTTCTCTGTCTTATGTTCAAGAAGAAAAAGTTGTATTTTTCTGTGATATTTAACCCAAACTTCTCCACTGCACAACAGAATTCACAATGTAATAAAAAAGTGTAATTTTCACATTAACATCGCTGTGGTGGCTTAGAGCATTCCCTTCTCCTACGCTGCCATCCTCCTCGAGTTTTATTGTCCTCCAACAAGCCTGCGCATCCTTGAAATGCTTTTGCTGGAACACGGCCATGATTCTGTGACTTGTTGCTTAGAAATCTCAAACATATAGTAAAGCAGTGTGCAGCCCCCGTATTACTTGAGCGTGCTTACGTTCTTGTGAATAATGCATCTAATTGGAGACAAAGGAGCTATGTGTTTCCATATGAACAAAGGAAGATATTTGACAACACTGTGTTTCTGAGAGCGAACAAGCAAGACTGTCCCGACACTGAATGACACTGATTGCGTCTTGTAAAGAAACCGCTGAGCACGTGTTTGTCGGTGTATTTATGCTGCCGTGTTGAATAAATACAGTTTGATATCCCTGAGCTTTCTGACATCACAGCATGATGCAAAACTTCCACACATGTGGACCTTCTCTTGTTGGTGTTTTTTTTTTTTTTTTTGCTGTCCCTGATTTTTACTCCTTTCTGTCCCATCTCAATAAAAGAAACAACAACACACTAGCGGACATGTAAAGTTCATCTTCTGCCACCTTGGGGATTTCAGGTGTGAAGACTATTTTTAACATTGGCTCAAACAGAAAAAAATGACACAAAAATAAACAATAATGTAGCTACAATCTGGCAAAATCAGAGCATGAAAATTGGAGATGCACCATAATTTCCTACTTGAATCAGAGCCAATTAGGGAATTATGGATATGATAATATGATTTTTTTGCTATACATGTAAAGCATCTGCATGCTTTTCTTTAAAATTTAATCGAATAATAAGGTGCTTTAAGTAAATAATACCCCAGCATAATGGTAATCTACCTGTGAATCCCTCACTCCTGATTCTAATAAATGTGTGGCATTTTATCCAGGAATGCATCAAAAAAGTAACATATTCTTCACTGACCAATCTGGGCCTCTTGTTACATAATCTTGCTAATTTCTCTCTCATTTAGATACGAATGACACTTTTTTCCCCCAATATGCTAACGCACAGCATTGTCTCATTATTTTAATGCATTTTTGCAGAGCTTAGCTTCAGGTAGTAAGGAATGACTCGTCCTCCTGTCCGTCTGGAGGCTTGTAAACAAAACAAAACAAAACAAAACAAAACAAAACAAAAAAAACGGCGGAAACTCAGCTAGTTTCACCGGAGCCGCTTTCTGCACTTGTTATGACGGCGAGGATAGATGTGTTTGTCTCCCATACCTCTAACACAGGTTGTAGAGGGTAATAATGCAGGCAGAGGTGAGTAAGTATTTCCTCCAAGTAATAGGAGTGGTTTAAGTTCATCTTGCCGCTGCCCTGTAATCGCTGGCCAGGCTGCTGTCTTTTAGAAAACATTACCTCTTTGAGTGGCAGCTTCAATGACAGCTTTGTGGACTAATTAATGTAGAATGCCACACTCCTCTCATTGCTTTTCCCTTTTCTCTTCCCTTGGATTACATTTTACAGCACATGCAGCTTGCCAGGGAGCGATAAAATGGTAATTTGTACCAACTTCTAACACTTAAATTAACACTATATCTCTGTCCGTCTGTGCTTTGAATCGTTATGAGCTGCTGGTTATCCAATTGTTTCCCCCCTGAAGAACTTTGAAAATGTGATGTAATAACTAATGCTAGTGGATGCTCCATCTAAATTAGGGTTTCGTTTTTGCGATTTCAGTTGGCATAGCAACCAACTAAAATTGCAAAGGATAGTATGACATTCTTGTGTTATTGTTTCATGTTGAGTTGGACCCATTAGATTTCTGACCAGTTTCTGACCTGCCCATGCAGATTTTAAGGGCTGCATGTTAGCCTGTTTTTTTTTAACATATTGGTATTGGTCCAATAAGTAAAACTAGACTGATTGTAACAACCAGTGTTTATTTCCATCTTGTTACCATTTATTTTATGCATCTTGGGGGGAGGAAGGGTTTTGGTTGGCCATGTGGTATTTCTTCAGTCAGTGTTAGTGATGCAGCACAGGATTATGAGGTGTTTAACTGAATCATGTGTGGTCACCAGTACATAGATATACATATACTGTATATAATATCATTTAATATTAGACATTAGCCATAACAACAATGTTATTGTCAGATATCAACATTGGTGCCTTCCTACTGATAGCTAATCCCAACTTCTCTTTGACAATTACGATTAAGCGACATTACATTACGGCCCTCCTGTGAACATTGATATTAATTTGTAGAAAAGGAGAGAATTTCACAGTGTGAGCAAGCAGTCGTTTAAAAATGTTTTACTCATCGTCAAAGAAAGAAAAGTAAAATATTGTTAGTATATCATTTACATTGTTTGACATTAGCATCTTGTATTAGCAGTTGGCAAAGTTAGTCACTGTAGACATCAGTCTTTATATGATTTATTCATAGAGAGAGTAGACCCTTTCTTTTAGTCTGCTTGCATTTCTAAGTCCTGCATATCATTGTTGGCAGACGTTGAAATCTCAAAAGAATAAAATGAAGTTAATTTACAGTAAAACGTTCAGTCTGGTATTGTTTGAAGACGGACGCAGGTCATTTTTTGGCGCTTTGCTAATTTGCCAACATGTTCCCAAGAGAGGACAGACTTGAAACTATGAGATAATTTCTCTGTGCATCTTGGTGCTAAAATGTAGCAAA